TTTACTGACCGTAAACGAGGATAATAATTGATACACTGATCCTAGAATACCTACATATCTTGTTTTAGGCACATGTGGCTCTAGTCCATGTGGCTTGGCTTAGTCAATGGTCTTGATTTGTCCCCTACCTACTATAAAATTGTAGTGTTTTGTTTTCAAATTAATGACCGAATCACACATGCCCAGCAGTTGGTAGGTACTCTCAGATCGTATTAATATAGTTATTATGATCTAAGTAGGTACTTCTTACTATAGGTTTGTCAATCGCGGATAAGTAAACAAAGGTAACATAAAAATAACAATAATGAAATGTGTGCACATAATATAATATATTATATGTGATAATAAACAACTGAACCGGAATACATATATCGTCATTATTATTGTTATAATAATTGAATTTCCCGTTCATAACGTTCCGTCTGCAGCTCTGCACAATAAAAACAAAAAAAACAACATAAACGCGTGGAGCGGCGAATTGTTATTACTCGCAGGTTAACACATTCTTTGTGTGTGCTCGCAGTTGTTGGCGAAATGATTTTTATTCTTTTGAAATCTAACTGAAAACCATTTATATTTTATAAGAATGACATTCCGTAAAATAAGTGAAGGAGGGGTACACACGGGAAGCCGCTCGCGTGTCGTTGGTGGATAAAACAAAACGATAAATGTCCAACCGACAGCCTACATTTTTGCGGTGAGCGAAATGAGGGGAAAGACTTTTGGAATTACAAATCCGAAAGGAAATATTATTATCTCGGAGTGTGGGAATAATTCGGAGAAAATAGTTTTTTTTTTTTTTTTTCACGAACCGCGAAGAAGTAACTTTATCTACATAGTACATACCAACGACACTCCGCAGACATATATTACTATAGTTTCGGTAGTTTCGAAAATATAAAAAGAAAAAACTATCGACTTTTCGAAATCCGGTCACAATACAGAATTTTTCTCCGAAAACTCGACGATGAGGTGCACGCTTACGGACGGTCGTCGGGAATCATCGTGATTCCGGCATATCCATGATTTAATATAGTATGGTTGCCCAACAAACTATGATAAAACGGTATAAGATATTATGAAACCAGATACCGGTTGTAGCGATTCTAGTAAACTATTTTTTTTTTATGTGTCATTTACTCATCTTACATATTACCTAATTAGTATTGCTTCTTATTTTAAACATGTAAATATTAAAATTAAATTTGATATCAATTAACTTTAATAATTATTTTATCGGTCATGTTAGTGCTCACGCGCATACAGATGGCGTTAAAATCAGTCGATTTTTATAACCCCTTGCACTCCTTGATTGCGTAACATGTTCGGCTCACAGATATTGCACTCAATACCAGTCCATTATATTATCTTAGTCTATAATAGTGTGATGTCTGTAGTCTGGACATTATTTATAAAATATTATAAGTGTAAATAACATAATAAACAATAATTATAAATTAATATTTAATTAACTAACATTTTAATAAATTACCCCCGGTAGAGTAGGGCAGTATAGCAGAAAGATCTCCGGTTAACGTGACATTTGGATTCATATCGTCCTCCGTGTGCTAACATTTTTATAATGGATCGATGGGCAACCATAATACTATCTTAAAACTCGCTAATAACCGTTGAACTCTCCGTATACGCACACACATTTTTCAATTTTTATTTCGTTATATTTATTATTTTATAAAGTAATTTTTTTTTATGTTATACGTTACGTTATACGAAAACAATTAATACGTTTGCCGCAGACCACACTGTTGATATCCACGAGCGAAAAACATCTAGTTAATAATATTATTAAAATTGTTTAAAAATCAGTGTCTCGTGAAAACGACCATGTGGTGTGGTGTGGTATTGTATTATGCGGGTCAAGTAACACACGCTGCGAGAGTAGTCATACATAAATACAAATTATTATAATACAATATTAATATAATTAAATACTGTATGGAGAATAATAATTAGTATAATATACACGGGTTGTACATGCATTGCGACACACTGTAATCATTTTCCCAGCATCGCAGTCGTTATTAAAAAAATTAATTCACCATAAATGTCATACGTCATGTCATAAGTGGTTGAGATATGTTTTGTACATTTTTTTTTTTCAATAATTTTCCGTTGCGTCCAATGATTTATTTTTTTAATTGAGACGTAACTTAAACTTATTTTTATGAAATATAAAAATACATAGGTTGTATGTAGTGATATTAATATTCACTTTACTTCCGATGTTTCTGATTTTTTTTCTATATTTTACTATCTAGATTCTAGGTCAAAACTCTAGTTCGATAACAAGTAGGTATGTTTAAGAACATGGTATCTTTCAAGTATGAATAGCTTTGATAAATCGGAATCGATTTAGTGTACACCATTTCTGCACTTTTATAGTATCACCTGGTATTTTCAACAATGACTTTACTAAGCCTCTTTTAGCAACTTCTATTTCTGTTTACCTGCGATAAAACTATTTTTTATCTTTATGACTATTTCATCTAATTTATTGGATCTGAAAAAGATATTTCCTTAGACGTTCACTTTACTAATATCAATAAATAAATAATATATCTAAGTTATTTTTCTTCTATTTTATTCATAACAATATAATACACGGTATATTTTATTTTTTTAAATAATATTACATTAATTTACAATCATAAAAAGTTATAGATATGTATATGTATATTTTGATACATATACGAGTCATTATTTCATTATGTGTCTAGTTAGTTTTAAAATTATTTTCTCCAAGTTCAGGAATATTTGATTGAAATTTTATACTGCAAGAATGAAGTTACTATCGTACTTACTTTCTAGTACACAATTCTGTCTTTAATACTAACACACTTTAAACCCATATTAACTTTATATAATATCTTTTATTTTCTCATACTACTTGTAGGTACATAAAAAGATCTATAAGCTTAACCTTGACCTTTGAACCATGTATTAGTCATCTCATGCAGTATTACATATCCATGAATTAATGTCAGGTGGAATAGTTATTAAATAAAAAATAATAATAATAAACCATATACCTAACAACAAATTTCTTATTTTTTATTTTACTTTTCCAGTTTTTTTGAGTTTTATTATTTTATAAGAAAAAAACGAGCAGGTGACCAGAATACACAAAATGGTACAAGGTAACAAAATACAACACTATAGAAAAGAGAAATAATAAATGTAAAAAATTAAATATAATAAGAATAAATAATTAAAAATAATGGCATACCATCGCATTATATAGATAAGGAATTCTGTATAATATGTTAGAATTGTCATGAGGATGAAAATGTATATTTAATGCATATTCAGTGAAGTATAAAAACTTTCATTGAACCCGTTAAATTTGTTGACTAGCATTAGCTGTCTGAGGGTTCCATACAACTTAGCCACTCACAACAGTTTGTCTAACAAATAACACTAAATAAATTTCAGAGAGATTGAGAGTTTGAACTAACCAAAAACTCTTCTGATGAAACCCAATAAGTTGAGAGCTCTGTAAATAGCGTTTTCAATGGGATCATACTGACAAAGTAGCGAAGTGAAAGTTAACCCAAGGTCACAATATAGTAGGTATATTAATACTGTTTTTACAGAAAGCCTGTTAGAACCATCAATAAATAAGAAAAAGTTATTGGTAGCTACATCTATTAAATACCCTTGACCGGCATTTGTAAATATTCAATATAAGACTAAAAGTTTCATCCCAGTTGACAAAAGTATTACGATTATCATGAATCTTAACACAGTCCAAATAAAGTCTTAACACAGTCTTAAAAAAAAATGTCCATATCATCCAGAAGTCAAGAAGTTAACCGTGTTGTAGGGAGGAAAATTGTCTATTTTGAAACAAAGATAATAATTTGTAGGTGAGATCAATACCACTATTTATAGATTCCATATAATGTTGATAAAAAAATATCTCTGACCTTATAGAAAACAGATTGACCCAAACTGTTATACAATAATTAATTGAATGTTAACTGAAATGAAAACCCTGTCACTAAGCGAATCTAAAGACCAAAGGCCAAGGTCCGTTTAATGGACATAATTTATGTAATTACAAATGTGTGGTTGCAAGTAATAGTAGATCCACCCGAGTGGAAACTGTGTGTTTGTTAGCTAAAACTATGTTGACAGAATGCTAAATAGCATATAATACTTTAAAATCAAATGATATGTGACATGTGTCCTAGTATTGAAATAGATCCGTATATAGCTATAGTCTTATAGATGAAAAATTCGCATATACGATATCTGAAAAAGAAACCAAAGGGAGTAGAACATCATGACCCGAATTATGTGAATTATAAACAATACCAACTTTCGGGGCATTCAGGGTTACTTATTGTAGGTTGGTTATTTTTGAAGGAATAAAATAGAAATTATTGTCAGACAAAATCAATAAAATATTGAATATTATGTTAGTACTACATTGACTATTTCAGTATGAATATTATGTTAGTACTACATTGACTATTTCAGTATGAATATACTGAATGGTAATGATTCACAAATAGATTAATAGTTTCCTGTTCATACGAACTGTCAACTGCATCCAATTATAATATTTTCAGAACATATAAATAATAAGAATTATTTTTATGGACTAAACTTCAATCCTTGTATAAACTATGTTACAGCCGTACCATCTATACCACTCATTATGAATACTAGCTCGCTCATTACAAAGTCTTAGTTGTTTTTGAGTTTTCGTTTTGTTATCGAATGGGATAACAACACCAACTATAGTTCCTTGATTATTAATCGCCCAACATATTAAATTATTTTTGAGGAAAATCGATTAAAGATAATAATATTTTAACTGTTTTGTTTTTCAGAAGCCGTTGAATCGATTAACAGGTGGTGCACTAGGACACAGCCAGGAGATAGAGTCATCCTGTCGGGAGCACAGAAATTGCCATGACTTTGAGGCTGGCAGAGTCAACGACACGGCCGAAGATTCGCCGCCGCCCGGCGTGATGTACGCCACAAACACAGTGCCACGTCAACGCGTGGCCCAGACGACAGCAAATACGACGACAACGATGATTTTCGTGGCAACCGTGATGGCCACCGTGCTAGCCGTGGCCGCTGGCTGTCCCATTGGATGTATGTGTAAGTGGAAAGGTGGCAAGCAGACGGTCGAGTGCGTCAATCGGAGCTTGACGGCCATACCGAATGGCATGGACATCGGCACCCAGGTATTGGACATGTCGGGAAATTCGATGGACGCACTGTCCAGGGGCCGGTTTATGTCAGCCGGCTTGTCCAACCTGCAGAAGATCTTCATGGCTCGGTGCCGGATCACATACGTGGACGACGCCGCATTCCAGGGACTGTCCAACCTGGTCGAGCTGGACCTGTCTGACAACGGAATTACCGACATACCAACCAAGTCATTTGACGACTATCCGCAGCTGATGAAGCTAGTGTTGAGCGGCAACGCGGTAACGGTGGTGCGGACGGCCGCGTTCAAGCGGCTCGCCTACCTGACGGTGCTCGACCTGAGCCGGTGCCGGGTGTCCATGATCGAGCCGGGCGCTTTCGACGGCCTGCACAGCATCGAGTGGCTGCGGCTCGACCACAACCAGATAGTGAGAATCGAGAGTGCGGGCACGGTCGTGCTGCCACTGTCGCTGCACGGCATCGAGATGCACCACAACCCGTGGACGTGTGACTGCCGGTTGCGCGAAGTGCACCAATGGTTGAACAACAACAGCGCGCCACACACGGTCGAGCCGACTTGCCAAGGGCCGGACAGACTGCGTGGCATGGTCATCCGGAAGCTGGACGCCGAGGAGCTGGCGTGCGCTCCGGTGGCAGCGGCCGCATCCCCCGAGTACGTGGAAACGGACGCCGGCAAGAACGTGACGCTCGCGTGCAGGGTGACGCCGGCCGGGCAGGCCCGGGTGTCGTGGTGGTTCGAGGGCCGGCAAGTGGCCAACAGCACTACGTCAGCTGGCGTGGAGCTGACCGTAGAGGACGTCGGCCCAGCGGACAACGGCACGTACGCGTGCGTGGCCGAAAATCGGGCTGGCTGGGCAGCGTGCAACTTCACGGTGCGCGTAATACAAGAACCGTCCGAGGTGGCAGCCGGTTCGTATCCGCCGGACGCGCCTCCTCCAGCCCTGCTGGTCATTGTGTTGGCCGGTTCGGTGTGCTTTGTGGCCGTAGCGGTGGTTTGCGCGATCAGCTGCCGGTTGCTGGTGGTGAAACGCCGTCGGCGTCGGGACCACGCCGGGCGACCGGGTGGCAAGTCAGGCGGTGCCGGGGGTGTTGACGCGGGGGCCGACGACCCGTCCAACAGTGGGCAGGGTGCCAAGACGACGTCCGACATCAGACAATCAGACTCGGTGAACCTTACCGTTTCATCCACCATCGACGGCAAATTGTCATCGGCCGAGGACGTGAGCGTGTACGGCGAGTATGACGCAGCCGCCGGCCCGGGGTCGTCCGCCGGTTACGAAGTGCATGAGGTGATGCACGTGGGCAGCGGCGGTGGTTACGACCCTTACCAGCAGGTGCACGTGGCCCAGGGACATCCGGTGACGGCGACCACGACCACCACTCTGGAGGCCAATCCAGATCTGATCAGCGACGCGTCCACCGTGATCAAGGACAACGGTGGTGGCGACTACCGTGACGCCAGCGACGAGGTGTACAAGATAGCCTTGCCGCCACCCCCATTGTGTGGCCGAGACTTTTGGTCGACTTCCGGAGCCGTATACCCGTCCGGCGGCGGCTGTGGCTCGTACGAATTGCAACTGTCGCCAGGCAAGCTGGCCGCCGGTGAACCGTATCCAGCTGATTATGGACTGCCCAAGTTATCGTCCGGCCAGTATCCGATGCCGGCGCCGCCGTCATTGTACCGGACGCTTCCGCACCGCCGGAACGCTGCCAAGCCGCAAGGTCGGTCTTGCCAGGAAGCCGAGTTCGTGTTGTTACAGCAGCATCACCATCATCACCATCATCACCACCAACAACAGCAACAGCACCAGCACCACTTGAACCGGTATGAACCGCAAAACATCCGGTACAACCAGCAGGGGTACCCGTACCCGGCATCCGCAGTTGCCGCGGATGGGCCTTACTACGCGACGGCCGCGGCCACTTTTTACGAACCGCCGTCGTTGTCGAACGCGTCCGCGCAGACACTCGACGACGAAACGATGGTCATGATGATGATGATGCCGCCGCCGCCGCCACTTGTGACCGGAGCATCGGCGTTACCCGCAGCGGGCAGACAGCCGCAACACTTGTCCGCCGAACACGCGGCAAGTCAGCACAAGGCCGTCACAGCCGTGCAAAAGCAGCCGGCCACCACGGAGAGCCCGGACGAAGGGTACGTGGGTGAAGGGCCTGACTCGTAGACCGGTTACAAGCCGCGTCCGGACGTCCGGCCCCCGACGTAGACGACTGGAGGCCGTACCGACAGACGCTTTGTGAAGGACGCTTGTCACTCTTACTTGTACATAATTCGATAATAATATTACAAATATTATATCGTCATAAAAGCTGTGAAATATGTAATAATTTTTTGTTGTGTGTTCTTGTCAGGTCCACAACGTAGAAATAGCATTGTAAAAATATAATTTCATATTTATCGACCATTACACACACACACACACTCACATCCTGTAATAGACGCTTTTCTCCGATCGTTATAGTTTGGTAATCGGAGGGCGCAATATCGTGCGTCGTGGACCGTTAAAGTTAAACGACGTCATTAAATTGTTAAACTTATAATATTGCTTTAGATAATAACTGATCTAGTCATATTTAGTTCCGTTCAAATCCTACGCTGCTGAAAATGTAATCTGCTTAATTGTATGTATTTGTGAAGTTATCTCAATTAATGTAGCTAATTTTTATTTATTTTTTTTTTTTTTGAATGTGCTTAAGTTATATTTTTTTAACGGCAATAGGTCATAATATGTTTTCACTGAATTCTGATATCGTTAAAAACGATAAATTATTCATAAAATAATAATTTTTTAGCTCGTCTTTTATTTTTAATTTACGAATGGAATATATTAGTCTTAAGTCGTTGTAACGACACTACAATTTTTTTTTAACAACAATGCTGTACAGAATCTTAAAAGAAGTTTATATTTATTATTTTCCTTTTTCATGAAAACTTTTTCCGCATAAAAAGATTGAGATTTTCAATTCATATCATTATTATCAGATTAAATTTAATTCGAATTGCATTGTCATACTTAATAGTTACTCTTTTTGTATACATATATTTATAAATGCATGTTCACGGCGTACCCGCACTAAAAACACTTATAAATGTATTTCCATTCTCTCGCGAAAATAAATATAAAATTATAATACCTAATACAAAATTAAAAGAATATAAACTATAATAATATGACAACCCATAACCATATTATGAAGGAAAAAAAACAATAAAGTAGTAAAACGAAACTCTTTTAAATATTCAATTGTACTTGGCTCAAATGTACACACCTATAATTTCTCTAAACACGGTGAGTCTGTCGAAATAATAAAATTATATTTTAACCATTATACCACAGTTCATCGTGTTAGAGATTACGCGTAGCAAAACATATTGTTTCCGTGTATTTTCCGTTCGCTTTCGGTGAGCATATTAAAATATAATTTGACGTGCCAATCGGACGGTCGACCCAATTCGATTTTTAAATATTATTACGACCGATTCTTGTAGTGAATCAAAATACATTGGACGTGGCTATAATATTATATTTTAACTCATCCGTTTCGAACGGGATTCGATGAGTGATTAAAAAGTGTAGTTAACTATCGTAATAATAATGTGTACATAAATAAAAAAAAAAAAAATGAAAAAAAAATGAAAAATGAATATTATGTAACTCGTTAATATCAAAAGAAAAGAAAGAATACTCGCGGCATAAATCACTGCGAACGGCTTAAATGGAACTTGGCTATAGCACTGAAAGCGGGAAACAGTGAAAAAAAATAAAATAAAAAATAAATCTGCTGTGAGAATTTACGTTCAGAAATGTTTAGTGGATTAATTTTAAAGTCTCGGACGCGTGCGGGACCGCTCTTCCGCGAACCTCCGTGCTTTTTCGATGATTTATAATAATTTTCCGCGCCATTAGGCCCCGGCACGGCCGTAGGATTGATGTAACAATAAAACGCTTAGTTGTCCGAAACTATGCCGGGCGGCCTTTAGCACAGTAAAAAGTGTCCGACGCATTCCACCGCGAACGGTTTTACTCTCTCGTGTCGCGCATTCCGAGGAGGGGAATTTAATTTCGACGAGTCCGAAACGGTGCCGACTGTAAATAACCCGACGATTCGATTCAATATACTGTTTACAACGCGCTGCTTCGTATTCGTAAAATTCACTTTACGAACCATATCGGCATATATAGTAATATATAGAGCAGGGGGAGAAAGCGGAAGAGCGAATAATAATAATAATAATAATAATAATAATCGTTGTCGTCGTCGTCGTCGTCGTCGTCACAATAATAATCGAACGAGACGAGTTGTGATTAAGAAAATTAAAAACGTCGATACCTATACGTAATTTTATTATTTTTTAATTTCCCAAACACAACACCAACATTTGTATGCGATGGCCGCCGCCGCCGTAGAAATATCGAGTAAGACGCCAAATTACTCCATCTGCAGCCAGGCTGTCACCACACCGTGAGAGTTAAATATGTAATATTATAGGTATTCGACTTGTAGGTAACGTGTTACCAACATTTTGTTACCTGCATATTAAATATCGACACGAGACACAGTGAAGTGTGAACCCGGCTTAACGCGTCTGAAATAATACTTATAATTATTGTAAATCATTGTTTGTAATAAAAAGAAACAACAACGAAACTGATATACATAATAATAATATAATAGTATATAATATGTATATCAGCGGTCTTATTTTATGTTAATAATATAATATATATATACTGTTAAGCTATACCTATATCATTGTTGTATATTTACGTGTATGTTAATTATTGTAGAAATATGTTGGCATGCCGATTCGATTTGGCGTATTGTTATATTGTATTACTCCATAATATTATATAGGTTCCCATTATAGTTTTATTATCATCGAAGGAATTTAAGATTAGTGTTTTTTTACCAGAGAACCATGATAATATTATGACATTGTATATGTAATATGTATGTACTATATAAATATATATTATCGCTGATTATGATATTTATGGTTAAATAAAAATAATAATTTATAGTCATTTAAATAAAGCGTTCGTTATTCGTAATATTATGGTTCAACTATGCCATGTATAACTATAATACGAAATATCCCCTAATCATCTTTTCTATTTTATTACTCCTATAGGTAGTTCCTACCTAAAACTTATAGCAGAAAACAGGTAGGTATTTAAAGCGAAATATGGTCAAACCGCTCATCATTAAATCAGTACAAGGTAAATTTCCAACTAAATGTCTACAGTTGAATAAATCAGAAGAGAGAACTTAAAGTGATTGTCTGACCACAAGTTCAAGGATTCTGGAATGTATATTATATTGTAGTGTTCGCAAAACATTATGGTCATAACTATGGGAATTAATTAAAAAAAAAAAAAAAACAAATAAAAGTTTGTTTCGACCAATTAAAGGTTTTAAGTGTATTAAGCCAACTACAACAACAACAACAACTAAACCGAATAAAAAGTGTATCGCAAGGATTTAACAATATGAACATTATTTTTAATTATCCGCATGCTGAATAAATGAGCAAAAAATATAAAACGACTGGTCTCATAAAAAGCAAGATTAATGCGAGAAATATTAAGTAAACTTTTGTTTTTTTTTTTTCATCATACATTAATCATTTTAATTTTATTTCGAAATGTAAATGCACGATTTATTAAAAGTAGTGGAAGTACCTATATAATATGCATGACGAAATTCAGACGCGTTCACTGAATATTGTTGTAACTCACATAATGTATACACTATACCTACAACTCTCTAGACGTATATTATAGACTTGATGGAGGAATCACTTTATTAAGCGACCTCTCAGATTTATGTGTTCTACGTAGTTAGAGTGAGTTATGTTGAAACGCCTCTTCCTCGATTTTTTTTTTAAACCTATATACGTAACAGGAGAATTGTCGGAATAGTTTTGAAGCAAGAACGTGAATTTGAAGATTTTAACGATTCTAAGTATAGTTTAGTTCGGAATTTCGAGACTCCAAAATTCAAATTATTTAAAATTTAAGCTCTTAACTCAAACTTAGGTTAACATAAATTAATTAATATAATCTAATAATATGCAATGATACTACTCTGTTCAAGTTAAGAAACGTATAGTTGGGAGCGACCAGTATCCGTCGGGCCACAGTCAGGCAACATTCTTTGCCCCCCAACTCCACAATTATCTGTATACCTCCAGTGTAGTATTGCCACGAACCTGAGCACAAGACTACGTTTCTTAACTTGAACAGAGTACTAGAAGACGTAACGAATTGGAGTGGAATACTTGAGAGTGATTGGCTAAGAGTTGTTGATTCTACGTACCAATGTGTTTCTATTGTAAGTTATCTAATATTAATTTTTGTTTTTAATATCAAATAAAATATACAAATCATTAACATCTACAAATGCGTGTAACTCGAAATAAAACATATTTTATCAACTTCAATATACCTACATATTATATTGTATTATAATAAATTATTCAGGATTCTACGACTGTCAGATTCTAGAAGTTGTTGGTTTTATAATGACATCTGCTGTTCTGTGGAAAACACTTTGAGAGAAGTGGGAAAGCTCAAAAAGTTTCGTACAAAACTATAAATTATTTACAATTTAGATAAAAAAAAAAAAAATTGAACACAAATTTATTGTACTTTGGATAATATGCCGTTTCTAGAATTCAAAATAGTTTGTGATAACCGTGAAGAGAAATATAAGAGCAGTAATTTAAAATAAAAAGCCCATCCAATATTGAGTAAATCGAATTTAAAACATTTATGTAAAAGTATTCGAATAGGTAGTTATCTCGGATATACTTAAGTGAAACTAATTAAATGCGTATTTGAATACATTTTAAAAGTGTTCAGCTTAATAGTCTATTCAAAACGCCGTAATTCGAGTGAATTATTTCCGCCATTTGTTTTTGAGAAATACTTTTTCCATAAACAATTTGTGTAATTTGTTCAAATGCCATAAAGAATTACATTTCTCCAGAAATAAAAATGTTCGAAACTATTTTATTGTCGATAAATAAAATGAATTTACCGTTAAATTATGTGTATACAGCTGCAGGTTGGGATACAGTCAGCGAGTCAAGACTAGAGTTCAGAATAATCTAATAATTTCATCATTCAAAAGTTGCGAATACTATTAAGACGATGGCAGT